AGCTATAGGGGTTTCCGACGGGGGGGGCGGGTTCCTCACCCCTCTCTATCCTCCTCCTCCTATCCCTCCTCCTCCTCCTTCTCCTCCTTCCTCCTCCCCTCCTGCCTCCCTCCTCTCATTCCTTCCTCCCTCCTCCTCCTCCCTCCTCCTTCCTCTCTTTCCTCCTCTTTCTCCTCCTCCTCCTCCTCCTCCTCCTCCTCCCTTCCTCTCCTCGTCCATGTCTGTGCACCCCATAAGGGAGGGGCTGCCGCTCGAGGCTTCCTCGTGACTCACTCACAGACAAGGGGCGCGCCCGAGACATCCTGCCCATTTGCTGATGGACGGGTTCCCGCTCGGGACGTCCTCGGGATTCAAGTCCCCACGTGCCCCCCCAATCTATGTGCTCAAAAGGAATTGCCCGATGGTCGCGTCGGATTCGAACATGGAGGTGGGGGGACCCCACGGGGAGGGGCTCCCGCTCGAGACGCCCTCGCGATTCACCCCACGAACGAATGAACTCTCGAGACATCCTCCTGGTTTGCTCAGGAACGAATCTCCCGCTCGAGACGTCCTCGTGCTCCAGGCCCCCAGGTTCCGCCACACCTGTGTGCTAAAAGGGCTTCCGATGGCCGCGTCGGATTCGGATATGGAGGTGGGGACCCCAGAAGGGGGGCGGGGCTCCAGCTCTAGACCTCTTCGCGACGCACTCACAGGCGAGGCTCCCGCTCGACACCTCCCCAAGGTGAGTGTGCAATTGTGTGAGTGCATTAGTGCGGTGATGATGAGCATGTTGGTGATGATTATGATGGTGGTGCTGATGATGCGGATGATGATGATGCTGATGATGATGATGCTGATCATGCGGGTGATCGGCCGTATCTTGGAGTGGTTCGTCCACAGCTGTCTACTTAAAAGTAGCGTGCCGCGCAGCAGCTAGGACACCGTTGAACAGCTCAGGGCGGAGCGGCTGGCCGAAGGCACAGGTTGCCTTGGCTTTGTGAAACACATGGAACGCCATGACGCACAGCGTGAGTGCCGAAGCACGGCTCATCGCACAATTGGCGGTATTGTAATCGTTGGGGGGCCGCAAGGCCCATCAGATGAATGGGAGAGGACGGGAAGTAGAGGAGACGACGCAAGACAGGACAGGCGACGTAGTGAGACATCGCATCGGGCGCATCGGCACAGCCCAGCAGGCAGGGGGTAGTGCCGCAAACATGCATTCGGGACGACGTGGTCCAGCATCCCGCGCGCGTCTTCAAAATGGACCATTACCACGCTGGGCGAAACGTGCGCAGAGTCTCGAGGCGCTCCCCCCACCGCCCCCCGACCGCCCCCTCAACCAGCTGCAGCAAGCCCCAAGCACGCAGGCGCTTGGCGATAATGCATTGGAACCCAGCGGGACAGAGAGAGCGTCGAAGCGAGGAGGAGAAGATCCATTGCACTTTCGCCTTGCGTCCTGCAGCCTGGGCGTTACTGAGCTCTTCGCGCGCAGCAGTCGCGGCGGCGTGCCAGTGCAAGCCGGAGACACCTGCATCAGGCGAGCGAGCCGCCATGGCGTGGAAGCGCTGCACAATGCCCTGCCGAATGCGCCAGCAAGGAGCACCCCACTCGCCCTGCAGCCATGCCACGAGCGGCAGGTCTTGAACCGCCTGCCCCGACCAAGCTTGAAAGTCACTGGGCCAACCCGACAGGGTGTGGTAAGTACAGCGCCGGAGACTGGAGACGCTGAGCAGCTGTACAGAGGCAGGCGCGATGAAGGCGTGCTCTTTGAATGCAAACAGATCGGCCTTACGAAACGTGCTAGGCGGCAAGCGAAGAACTTTGTGCAGAGCAAGCTTCTCTTTGTGCAGAACCCAACGAGGGGTGGGATAGAGCTGCGCAAGATAGCTGAGCACCGAGAGGCAATACTATTGCACAACAACACGCTAACACTGGTGGGAATGCCTACAGACGGAATCTCACAAACTCGGGGCCACCATGTACGTGCAACTCCCGCCCAAACGGCATTTTCCGTCGCGCCAGGACCAAACTGCACGCCGAGATATTTGGTGTGGGAGGCAATGGCAATGTCTGCCCAGGACGGAATATGTTGAATTAAAAAGGACCGCGAATCACGCACTACCTCAAGCGTGAGCACCGTCCGAAGCGGCACGAGCACAATTTTCTTGGCCTGGTGGCGAAGGTGAGCCAAACGCCCGGCCGCTGCAAACACAAGAAAAGCGCGCGGCAGATCAGCAAGGCGTGGCTGAACTAAGCCAGTATCGTCGGCACAACCTCCCACCACTCCACGACAGTCACCCAACGACGACGGCGAGACCTCCCCCACTAAACGCCGCAGCAGCGGACCCATAGCAATGGCCCAGGCAGGGCCAGGCGGCGGGCAGCCTTGCATCACCCCAGATAGCAGGTAAACCATGAACTGCTGTTCGCCATTGGCAGCCGCGAAGCTCCGCGGTGAAAAGAAAAAAATCATATATCAAGCTGGGATATCCCTCGGGCAGGCCAAACCGTGAAAGCACCGCCCAGAGCCCATCATGGCCCAGCGATGGAAAGGCAGCAGCAATGTCGAATGCGATAAAGACTGGAGATTCCTGAGCTGCCGTTTCGCGAAAGCTCGAACGCCTCGCAGCGGTGTCGAGGCGCGTTATGTTACTCAAGAAAGTGCGGCGCGGCGCGAAGCCCTGCTGGACCTCATGCGCGCGCTCCTGAACGAGCCTCTTAAGATTGTGGTTAGCGGCCGCCGCGAGAACCTTGGCATCTGTATTGCGCAACGACAGAGGCCGAACCTGCGAAGGCTGCCGAATGCATTCGTGAGCATCCAGTGGTTCATAGCCCTTGGGCAAAAAACGCAAAAATGAAATCATTCAGCGAGCGCGGAGCGTAGCGGCCTGCCATCAGATGCTTCAGGAGCCCGTGGATCACGCGGAGCAACTCGTCGGAGACCATCCAAGCCTGGTAGGGGAGCCTATCGGGACCAATGGCACTGTGACGCACGCGTTTGAGCGTCTCCTGAAAGTCCTCGAAGCTCGGAACGGGGATGTCGGCCACGTCGAAAGCCGCGTAGCGTTCATGAAGATGTTGTTGAATGTCCAGCTTGCTAGCCGGCTTCGCCCGAAAGACATCAGCCCAGTGGCGCTTAAGGGACTCGAGGATCTGAGATGGGGCCTTCACCGCAGCGGGCTCCTCCGAACCCAACACGTGCTCAGGACGAACGCCAGAACGAACAATGCTCCTTTCCTTCGGTCTCCATAGCAAGGCGCGGCGGCGGGCAGCCTTCTGATGTTTGAAATGAGCAGCAACACCAAGAGTGTCCCCCGCGCGCAGAGCCTGTGCGATGCTGAGCAACCTCAAGTTCGGCAGCATGAAAAGAACGAGACTGGCGCCGAAATTCGCCATGAAGCAGCAATCGAACAACTCCGCTTTCCAGTTGGAGAAACCGCGAACCTTCCGATGTAGAGGGCATCAGCAGCGACGCCAACTCAGCATCCTGCCGCTGGACCGCCCGAGATATGCTCCTCGTGGCGATCGATCGGCCACCGACCGCACGGCGATCAAGAGGGCGAAAGGGTAGCCGTTGCAGTTCATCGCGCGTCTGACGCGCCGCCTCAATCATGATGTCCTTCGTGTAGAGCCATTGTTGGACAGGGGAGAAGCGATCCAGGTCAGCGACCGCGAGGGGCCCGCCCAATATTTCCCTGTACCTCCCGTCGCAGAAGACCACGTCAGGGATGCGGCGTTCCGCGGCGCGACTTGGAGCCTTGGGGCGCATGGCGAGGCAGAGCATGGAGTGATCGCTCAGCCTGGACTGCGACATCTCCATGGGGCCAGCGTCAACGGTGGCGAGAACAGCGCCCAGAAGGAAATGCTCTGGCATGCCGATGAACGCGCGATCAATCGCGGAGGCAGTGTAGTGCTGACGGCTGACGTGCGTGGGGATCGGGGAGCGAATCTCTTGAGCGAGGTCGAAGAGCGGGCGCCAGAACGTCTCGAGCGGCTGGTAGGTGTGCGACGTGGAGAGCGCACTCGTCATCGCTGCCGTCGCGATTGTTGAAGTCACCCATCGCCAAGAAGGTGCGCAGCGTGGGGTCCTCCGCGTTCCACGCCACAGCGTCGCGCCAGTGCTGGTCAACCGCGCGGCGACCTAACTCAGAACTGCCATAGTTGTGTACGTTGCGAAGCCTGTAGACGGCGTCACACACAGGGTGAGAAATCTCCTATGCAGCAACGCGTCCAGGGGCCAGAGGATGATGCAGAACCGCAGGTCGAGCCTCATCGGGTAGCGCCCGCGGCCATGGCGCCAAGAAAGCGTCGCCGCCCTCGCGTGCAGCCGCGGCCTGGGAGTGGAAGACCTTGTGCGGGTAGGGAGAGAGGGCTATCAAGACCTCCCGCCGCATGCAGACCCCGCGGCACTCCTGAATGAGCAAGAGGGCGCCCCTCCGCATGCGCTTCTCGAGCTTGGCAAGCTTGCGCCTCCTCCGCCGAGGGCGCTAGCAGCAGCGCCCTCGCGCGTTCCAGCTGACCGCTTGCGCGCCCGAAGAACTGGGGGAGAAACACCGCGGAGTCCAGCGTGGGCTAAATAGACCACAGCGAGGCATCCGTCGCGCGAAAGAGCCGCTGGAACTCGGCAGCGATCGCAGCCTTGTCAACGTTGAATCGTCGAAGAACTTGCCCATCCCAGCGAAGCCGCGTGCTGTCTGCAGCAGCGGGGCCGATCCCGAGCGCAACGAGCGGGACCGCGTCGATAGAGACGATGCCTTCGTCGCCAACGCGGCGGACGTGATGTTGGGGATGCGTTTCGGCAAGAAGGCGAACCAGACGCTTGGACTGTTGTTCCCGCCTGAGCTGTTTGGGCGACTTGCCTGCGTTGATGTAGAGAGGCGCGAGGGCCCCAGCCGTGTTCGGAGCAGAAAATGTTCTCCACTGGCCTCCGTTGCGCAAGTTGCGCGCAAGCGACATACCCCTCGATGAAGCTGCAGGTCCACCCAGAACTCGAAATAACCTTCGCGAGGGGACATCACCAATGAACTCGACGTCGCTGAGGGAGACGCCTGCTGCTGTGATCCATGGCTCCACAGAGCGACGGACCTCGGCAGGTTCGATAGCCGAGGGCGCCCCGATGCTGTAGAGGTGCGGATCGGGTGGGCGATCCCAAACTGCGAGTGCAGCTATGTCGCGCGGCGGGAGCGTGGCCTCTGCGATGGCCAGGGAGGACTGCGTGCGCTCGATGTCCGTGCGCATCTGCTGCTGCTCCTGCTCGACCAGCTGCGTGCGACTGCCGAGCTCACGAAGACTGGTGTCGAAGGCGTCGACGCGGCCCCATTGCTGGCGCGCCTGCGCGATGACCAGTTGGAACTCACTCTGGAGCGCGGTCGTCGCTGACTGCATGATGGCGGTGGTTTCTTCTTGAAGACGTTGGGTTGCCCTTTGCATGTGGTCTGGGAAGACGGCAGACAGGCGCTCTTCCATCCCGGCAGACTCTGGAACACGTAGCCGCTGTCGGTCAAGTTCGCGGGAAAGCGGCGCAGACCGCTCGTGTCTTTGCCGGGGGCCACTACGGTGTAGCGGGCCCTCGCCAGCACGTCGCTCGTCGTCAGGAAAGGTGGGGCAGTCCTCCAACGCACGGTATAACTCTGCGTCATCTGCATGTTGGCGCCGCAGCTGTCGATCTCGAAGTTGTGCGGCGGGCCCTCCAGAGGTGCCAGCTCGGCGGTCAACGGGGGTGAGCTGTCGATCGTCACGATGAGCTCTGCGCTGACGTCGTTGACCACGATCGCTGCGGGAACCACTTGCTTCTCCTTCTCGACGTCGCTGCCGACGACGACCCCGCGCGGGGCTAGAGGAGGGCCTCGAGCTGCCGCTTGAAGCCATCGCGTAGAACACTGTCGTGGCCACAACCACGGAGCGGGGCGATCCACAGGAATACGAAGGACAGCGACCTCAACACCACGGAGAAGACAGCAAGCCAAGATATGGAGGGCATGGAAAGCTGGTGGGCGGCAGCTCGCCCCTGAGCGCAGCTGCATGAACGAAAGATTTCTGTGCTGGACTGGGGGCCTGCCCCGCTTAGGCAGTAAAATGCACCATCTTGGCTACTTGAGCCAAACTGGCTACGGATGATGATGCTGATGCGGATTATGAAAATGATGATGCCGATGACGATGGTGGTTGCCGACGTTCGCAGTATTATGGTGACTGTAGAGAGGGCGGTGCTGATGATGGCGAAGATGGCGATGATGCTGATGATGGTGACGAAGGTGATGGCAATCATGCTGCTGATGACGAATCTGATGATATTGTTGAAGATGATAGTGGTTGTGATGATAATCCTGCTGATGCTGGTACTAATAATAGTGATGATGGAGGTGGTGGTAGTGAAGAAGATGCTGCTGGCGATGGTGATGCTGTGGGGTGTATTTGCGCGGACAAAAAAACGAATGGTTCTGACGATGGCGAAGGTGAGAGAACAAAAAGAGGGCAGGGTGAGCGGGCGCGTGACGGTGATGGTGATGGTGATGATGCTGATGGTGATGGCGTGTGTCCTTATTCCTGCGAGGGGTGCTCCGGAATAACAGAAAAAACGCTGGAAATATGCAAACCAATCATACGGGAGTGCGAGGCCAATTTTTATACACCACCACCGCCCGCAACAGCAATTTTCAGCAAACAGAGTTAGGGGCAGGGTCATGCCAGACGACGCTGCCGGCCACGGCGAAAAGGAGCGCGGCGCAGCTCGCAGGCGCCGTAGCATGGGGAGATCCTGGAGCAGAAACAGCACTTCTTGGTGGTGGTGTATAAAAATCGTTCCTCTTGGTAACCAAAGTTTTATACACCACCACCGCGCGTGCTTTGATGAATTCTGCGCCAGTCCTTAAGAGAGAGGGGGCAGCCCGTTTGCCGTTGGCGGCGGGGGGGGACTGCGGGCTTTTCACGAGAGCAAAACTGCACCAAATTGCATCGTATATTATAATCGATCTTGGTGGTGGTGGTCATATACTGTGCTCGGAGGGAGGGTGTCTGCGGGTTGAGGCGGCGACAGCAAATCGTGGCGGCCATTTGTTGGGGCGTTCTAGTCTTGCAGACAAAACGTATTTCCCCAGCTACTGGCCGAACAGTCGGCCTCACGGAAAGGGTCAGAGTTACGAAGAAGCTGTGGACGTCGGAAGAGAGGGTGCGAAACTCGAGGATAATATGTTGTTGCTGCTGTTGTTGTTGTGGTTTTTGTTGTTGTTGTCGTTTTTGTCGTTGTTGCTGCCGTTGTTGGTTGTGCCAGTGTTATTTTTTGATTCTGAACGACTCAGCGGGCATCACTGTTGAACCCCTTGCAGGCGCCTTGTCGCTGTCGCTTCGGCCTTCGGCATCGGCTACGTTTCCTCCGTAATCGGAATTTATGTTCAGGCGTTCCGGGGTTGTGCCGAAACCGGCGCCCCAAGAACAACAACGCTCCCGCCCCATAGTTCCTCAATCTTTACTCGGGACCCGGGCTCTTCCTCGCCACCGAAAGCCAACTGTCCAACAAAACTGGCGGACCCGCTCGATACTTTTTTTTGTTTTAATCAGGGCTGGCGCTCCCGCCTCTGCGCCGCAAGCGCCCCCCCCATGCAAGCAATGACGCTTCCGTTCGATATTTCTTTCTTTTGTATTCAAGACTCCGCGAGAGGACCTAGTCTCGAATGCCGATCCTCAGGAATGCAGCGTGCACTGTCGGAGGTCTGCGCCAGCGATTCCCTGGCGCGCTCCGCGTGCCAGGAGCGGCCCGAAAAGGCCGCGGAGGCGACCCCGTCGTCGTCGTCGTCGTCGTCGTCGTCGTCGTCGTCGTCGTCGTAGTCGTCGTCGTCGTCATTTCGTCGCGGTCGTCCTCCTCCTGATCCTCCTCCTCCTCTTCTTTTCCTTTTCCTTCTCCTCCTCCTCCTCCTCCTCCTTTTCCTCCTCCTCCTCCTCACCCCTAGTCTTTCCACCTCGTTCCTCCTCCTCCTCCTCCTCCTCCACCTGCTCCTTCCTTTACTTCCTTTCCCGAGGCTGAGAAGCTCCGCCGATCCATGGTTTGCCCAAAAATGCCTCGCAGCATCCGTCAAGATGCCTCGGGATCCTCCTTTTGTTTAAAATTGTTTTGAAGTGTCTCCTTGGGGCCTTCATGTTTCCCAGAAGGGTTCTGAAGGTTCTCTGTTAACAAAAAACTCTCGGAGCTCTCCAAAGGGCTCCACACGCTGTCCCACGGCCCTGGCGGCTCTCCCACAGGTTGCGGGGCCTTTCCCCCAAAAGGTGTTTGGCCCCTCTGGCGTGGTGATACCTAGAAACAGGGCATGGGCAGGGCGATTGCGAAGGCGATGTGCGATCCAGATTGGAGATGCTGACGTGCCTGGAAACAGCGTTGTCAAGACCAGCTCGGGCGGGAGATGTAGCTAACGGAATAGGCCCCCTGTGCACGAACTGTTCCCGCATGATGGGGGGAACTATCATGATGGATGCATGCTGCATACACGATCATGGAGCATTCGGGTAACATTGTTGTTGTATTTGGTGTTGCTTCTGTTGTTGGTGGTGAATTTGTATGTGTTGTCGATGGCGTTGTCGATGCTGCTGTTGATGATTTTGTTGTTGCTAAACTCTCACTAATGGGGAATAATTATTGATTATTGTTGATCCCCCCCCTCCGGGGCCAATTGTGCTTTTTCAATTGATGTGCCCTTCCAGGGGTTCGCACCCTTTTTGATCAGGGAACAAATTGGGTCTCAGAATGGTTTTCGGCTCCCGGTTTACAGCGACAGTGGCTCCCGCCTGATACGACGTCACAATTTATTACCGGATCGCGATCTCGTGCGGGAGGTCCTCGCAATGTATTATGGCGCCGCGCCCTCGACGCTCAGGAATCACGCTCCCGCGCTGGATTCCAGGACGATCTATGTGATAATCTCGCTATCTACACTTCCCCGCGATTCATGCAACAAACGCATCCACAACCCGCGTGCTCGACCTGACCGCCTTGGCCCGTCTTCCCGACCCGCCCGTTAAGGTCTACCCGCCTGATCTGCCTGTCTGGTTCTGCAGCGTGATTTCTGCTCATAGGCCCCCTTCTGCTACCCTCTCTCTCTGTCTCTCTCTTTGTCTGTGTCTCTTTCTCTCTCTCTCTCTCTCTCTCGTTCCATCCTCCTCCTTCCCCCTTGCCCCTTCCTTCCATCCGTCCTCCCCTCCCCCACCTCAGGGGCTGCACGTCGTACGCGGCGAGGGCGACGATACCCCCCCCAGCGGGTACGATTGAAGACAAGAGCGAACAATATTTAACTGATTGCTGTTGTTGTTGTTGCTGTTGTTGTTGTTTTAGTTGTTGTTGTGGAACTCTCGCTATTGAAACACATGTTGTTGATCCCCCCTCCGGTGACCATTGTGTTTTTCAATTGAAGTGCTTCCCCGGGCCCGCACCCTAAAAACAAGGAAAGTCACTCGGCACAAACTGCGTTGTCGGCCCCTGGATTGCAACAGCAACGGCTCCCGCGTGAGACCCCCTTACCATTTAGCACGGGCCCCCGCTCCCGCCTGAGACTTCCTAGTTTTTTTGCTTAGGAGTCGCGCTGGCGCCTAAGGCTTCCTTGCAATTTACTCAGGAATCGCTCTCTCGGCGCTCTGGAGTCGCGCTTTCGCTGGACACTTGTTTGCCTTTTGCTCAAGAATCGTGCTCTTGCGTTGGAATCCCCCGCAATTTACTCGAGCGCCGCGCACCCGACACTCAGGCACCCAGGAGTTGCGCTCCCGCTTAGGGCTCCCTCGCAGCTTACTTCGGTATCGGGTTATCGCTGCCCTTCGCGGCCCCGTTGTAGCCGTTCGTGGTAGCTGCCCTTCGTGGCCTTGTTGCAGCTCTTCGTGGCCCCCTCGCTGCTCGTCATAGCCCGGTCGCACCCTCCGTAGCCCCGTCCCAGCCTTTCGTGGCCCCTTCGCTGCCCTTGGCGCCCGTCGTGGTTCCATCTGCATGCGCTTCGTGGCCCCGTCGCAGCCTCTCGCGGCCCCCTCGCTGTCCTGCGCGGCCCCGTCGCTGCCCTCAGTGGCCCCGTCCTTGCCACCTGCGGCCCAACCTATGCGTGCCCTTCGTGGCCCCCGTTCGGTCGCGCCCGTCGTGGCCCCATATTCATGCCCTTCGTGGCCCCGCTGTCGCACTCTGTGGCCTCCATCGCTGCCCTGCGTAGCCCCGCCGCTACCGTCAGTGGCCCCGTCGTTGCCCTTCTGTGGTCCCGCATGATCTGCCCTTCGTGGCCCCCGCTCGTTCGTGCCCTTCGTGGCCCCATACGCATGTCCTTCGCGGCCCCGCTGTCGCCCTTCGTGGCCCTCTTGCTGCCCTTCGTGGCCCCATAGCTGCCCTTCGTGGCCCCGCTGTCGCTCTCGCTCTCGCTCTCGCTCGCGCTTTCGCTCGTCGTCGTCGTCGTCGTCGTCTTCGTCGTCGTCGTCGTCGGGGTCGGTCCCCTGTCCGTCCCTCTTGGGGTCGGGCTGCCGCCTGTCAACGCTGCCGCTGGCCTGGCTGACGGTCCGCGGCCGCCCCGCCGCTTGCCGGGGCCCGGCCTGCCGGGAAGAAAGGCACACCCCCGAAAGGGGGCACAATCGAAAACAAAGAGGGCGGGTATCGAGGGTTTCGGAAATACGCGTTGAATGGCCATCGAACAGATAAGGGCGAAGAATATTAAACTGATTGTTGTTGTTAAACAATAAATATGTTTATCCCCCCTGCCCGGTAATCATTGTATTTTTCAATTCAAGATGCTTCACCCGGGGTTCCCACCCTGCTGTTTACAAGAGAGCGCTGGGTGTCACC